GCCCACGTCCCCTCCCGGCGCTTGTGACACTGTGTGTCCTGATGGGAGCAGAACTGCACTTCTGGTCTGAGCCTCGCAAGGCCCATGGGAAGTCACGCTGCCATTCACGGCTCTGTGTCTTGTGCAACACAGTACAGCCCCAGACCTGCCAGCCAGTTTGGTACTAGTGCCTGTGCGTGCTTGGATGGTCAGAAAACACAGGGAAGGCTTGCATTTTAGACATGCACTGCAGTCAGCGACACGTCACCATGAATCCCCCTTCAAATCCTCCCCTGGCTCAGAACACCCTCCTCCCGTCGTCCTCGCCACTTCCTGCGCTGTCCTGGCTGCCTCCATGTGGTGAGTGGATTCAAAACGTCTCCCTTTTATGGTCATTGTGACTTCAGGAAGAGCCGGAAGTGCCAGGTCCGGTGACTGAGGTGGATGAGGACACAGCGTCGTGTGTTTACGAGCTGCCTTTCTGCGGGGTGGCGCTCGGCAGCAGCAGTCGCTGTATTTGTGATCACACCTGGTAAAGACCCTCAGGAAAGAGGACCCCAGAGCTGCTGCAGGAAGTGGCGAGGATGGTGGGAGGAGCGTGTTCAAAGCGAGGGGGAGGATTTTGGGGAGAAAAGGGGCGGTCCATGGCCATGTGTGTCTTGCTGTAATAAATCTTTAAAATTTAAACATTCATATATTTCAGTAACCTCGTCTATGTGACCTTCAAGCCCTGCTCTATTTTAGGATCTCCAAACACCTTCTGGGATTTTTCTGGCTGCTCTTGTGTGTGAGTTGACGGTTTTCTCCTCAGGGAGAAGCAGCACTTGCCTCTGCCACCTGCTGAGTTGCTGCTGTGGCCCTCAGGCCCGGATCTCCACCACGGAGGGAGGGCGGGAGGCCAGGATCAAAGTCAGACAGCAGCACCGAGCCGGGCCCACGCTGGCAGCAGACACAGGCGTCACCTGCCTGGTACACTGGTGACTCACACACGCCCGACAGTTCCCACCACAGGAAGCCTGGGCCCAGGCTGCGCATCATCTCCAAGTCCTGCTTTCCGAAGTCTCCTGCAGTGGCTTAAGCACCACCTCCACCCCATTGTGCTGGGCAGATCCTCGGGGTTGCTGAGACCTCGCCCCGCCTGTCCTCTTCTCCGATGGGGCCCAGTGCCTTCCACACAACGCAGCGCAGGGCCAGGAGCTCAACGTGGTCAGACTCGCTCATGGGCTCCTTCTCCTATGGCCTCCTGTCCGCCTGGACTGGGCACACGGGCCTAGGACCCTGTGGTTTTGCTCCCTGCTGTCTTCCTAGTGCTTGAAAAGCTTTTGAGAGAATACTGCTCAAACAAGCAGCAGGGATAAATGCAGAAATGAAGGACTCATGGGGTCAGAGATTTGGCTCAGTGGATCCGCTGCCTGCCTCACGAAGCACAAGGGCCCAAGTTCAATCCCCAGTACCAAAAGAAAAAAAAGATGAAGGACTTACATATAGCTTATCTGATTTTTAAAATTCTCTCTTTTATTTATTTATTTATTTATTTAGACAGCTTTTTATGCAGCTCAGGATTCTCTTGAACTCACTATGTAGCCCAAGCTGGCCTCCAGCTTGTGGAGATCCTCCTGCTTCAGCCGCCCAAATGCTCCGATTATAGGCCCGTGTCACCACACCCAGTTAAAATTCTCTTTTGTTATTGTTCTTTGCTCTTCTTTTGAGATATGATGCGAGAAATGATATCTTGGGTTAGATTTTTCAATAAGCCACAAATGTCCCCTTGATCTCGTTCACTTTGGGAACACTGAGCCTCTGGCCACAGCTCTCAGCAAACCCCCGGATCCCTGCGATTGCGTCCCATTCTGGGGCTTCATGGCTCCCAGGGCATCCATGGCTGCGTCTGGCCCAACTCAGCTAGCCCTGAGCTGCTGAACGCAGGCAGCTCGTGGCTATTTCTGCCCTCCAGGAGTAGCAGGTTTGGTCTTCGGAAGTCCCCAGCTTGTAAAGATTCTAGCTCAAGCCTTGCGGTGGATCCTTTAGTCACACCATTCCTTGCTTACTGAAATGCCTCTTCCTTTGCCCTTCTGACCCCAGCCCTAGCTGTGACCAGGGACCACCAGCCAGTGCTGCCACACGGCCACCACACCATGAGTATGGATCACTGCTGCCCACCCCCCCAGATCCCAGGACAGGCACCCTCCCTCCTCCAAACCTTTCACCTCTGACTACTTACTCCTCCATCGGCCACCAACCATCCTGGGCAGCCTCAACCGAGAGGTTGCATGCGAATATCCAGCCTGGACTAAGAGCTCCCCCTGAGCCTCACAGCCTCACTCTTTTCCTGGACACTGTGGATATCAGGCTGGCCTTGGCTGGAGCAGATGCTGCACAGGTAAATGGAGCAGATGCTGCACAGGTAAAGATCAGGCCTCCGATGCTTTTTTTTCCCTTGGTACTGGGGTTCGAACTCAGGATCTCGCACTTGCAAGGCAGGTGGCGCCACCACTGAGCTAAATCTCCAGCCCTCCGATACTTTAAAAGACATAATGGATATAGAAGCAACCAGGAGAGCCGGGCATGGTGGTGCATGCCTGTAATTCTAGCTAGCACTTGGGAGGCTGAGGCAGGAGGAGCGCTGCAAGTTCGAGGCCAGCCTGGGCTACATAGTGAGTTCGAGGCCAGCCTGAACTTCAGTGAGACCTGTCCCAAAAGAAAAAAAAAAAAAAATCTTAAATACAGAACCTTAAGTAGAAGCCACCAGGAAGGAAAGTAGACATTGGAACTGAAGTGTGGATCAGCTTTTTCTGCCATCTGACTGAGTTCTGCAGCGGCCTCCACCTGCAGACTGAGCCAGTGACCCCATCATGAGGAGCCCCAAGGTCCTGGGGTGGGGAGCAGCACAGCCTGAGCCTGGAGAGGTTACGAGCAGAGTGGGGAAATCCACAGGTTATAGGGCCACAAAGGCCACAAGGATCGAACCAGGAGAGCAGAATTCTATCCAGCGGGTTATTGTGGGGTCAAAAGTCGGTCTTGCGGGGTGCAGTGGAATACACCTGTCACCTGGGGAGGAGGCTGGGGCAGGAGGGTAGCCCTGAGTCCTAGGCCAGCCTGGAATGCAGGAGACCCTGTCTCAAAACCCCCTAAATAAAAAAGAACTGGCGGGAGAGAGCCTGGGCAGGCTGAAGGGTGTTCTTCCTGTGTGGACACAGTGCCCAGACTGCCAGTTCTGATCGGGACATTACCTGGACCCCCACGGCCTCCCCAGCCCACCGGTGTCCAGACAAAAAGAGAACAAAGCAGCGGATGGAGGGAGAGTTCTACTTCCTGTCTCGGGACAGCCTTGCTGCCATTCCCAGCTGCAGGCGGAGTCCAGGCCCAGCCCCTGGCCCTCAGCCAGCTCCTGAGATTCCACTGCAGGCTGGGGTCAGACTTCCGCCCGGCTGTGACGCTGGGGGCAGAGGCCCGCTGGGTGTCCAGGACCCACCCGGCAAAGCTGTGAAACTGCCTCTCTCTGAGAGCCACGACCTCAGTCTGTGCTGGGAGTGGCCGGGGAGAACAAGGGGACCCTAGAGTGGCCCACTGGGCCAGCGGACACTGAGCCCATTCAGTTCCAGGGCTCAGGAGCTGCCCTGCTGCTTCTCTGCCAGGGGCAAACTCTTAAAGGAGCCTTTTTGTTTTTAAATCAGATATGCAAAGAAGCTGATAAGAATTTTTGCAAAGTCTAAAATGAGAATTTGGAGTCTGGGAGGGAAGCCTTAGGCCTGTGAGCTCCTGCCGCCTGGAAGAAATGGATTCGAAATGGCCAGGAGGAAGTGAGGAGTCTAACTTTTGCGGCTGTTTTAGTTTTCCAGTGAAGTCCTGTTTCCGCTTGGCTTTGGACACGCAAGCGAAGGACAGTTGTTAGCTGGCTGATTGCAGATAACCTGTGTCCTCACAGCAGAAGCAGCTTATCCTAGCAGGCACCGATAAACGCCTGAAGTTTCAAATACAACACCCTGCTAACAATGACAGCAGCAGATACCACTTTATTGAGCTTTTACTTTGCAACAGGCCTTGGTACACAGTGAAAACACTGTGGGGCTGGGGAGCAGCACATGCTTAGCATTCCTGAAACTGCAGGTTTGAGCTCCAGGACAAAAGGAGAAGGAAAAGAGAAGAGACAGAGAGAAGAGCAGTGGAGAAAGAAAAAAAGAGAAGCTGGAAGTGGTGAGATCCACCTGCAATTTCAGCACTCTGGGAGGCTGAAGCAGGAGGATCACAAGTTCAAGCCCATCCTGGCAATTTAGCAATGCAGTAAGACTCTGACTCAAAATATTAAATAGTAAATATTATTGTTTATTTAAAACATAACAAAAGGGCTTGGGTTTAGCTCAGTGTTTCCACCGCCTGCCTCGCAAATGCAAAGTCCTGAGTTCGATCCCCAGTACCAAAAGATAAAAAATAAAATATAATATAATAATAAATGTAAACGGTTGGGGATATAGAGCAGTGCAAGGGCCCTGGGTTCATTCCCCAGTACCAAATATATATCTCTATGTTGCTGGCCATATCTGTTTTACCCAGAAATCCTATTTTTAAAAATGAAATAAATTTTTATTTAAGGAATTTCACATGCAATTCCTTCAGTACTCATCAAGGCCACTTTAACGAGGTTCTCTTGTCTTCAAGATGACCCTTTTTCAAAGAACTGAGGCTTAGTCCAGTCATCCCATCAACCCGAAATTCTTTTATCTCCATTGGAATTATGGACAGTGACAACTTCGAAACTCCTGGGATTTTATAGGCAAATTCCTTCCAGCAATTTACACTTTAGGAGCCTAGAATCTGAGTTGTATGTAGTAATGGTATCGTGGAACATGATCTAGAATCTCTGTGTTATTCCTTAGTCACTCATTTCTGATACTGAAAGTCAACATTGTTCATTATTCTTTTCTTTTCGGTACCTGGGATCGAACTGGGCACCTTGTACTTACGAGGCAGGCGGTGGAACCACTGAGCCAAATCCCTGGCCCATTGCTCATCATTCTTGAGCAAAACGTCACAGGTCTCACTGTCGCCACTGTAATTCATTTGCGGTAATGGAAGCGTGACTTACCTGTGTCTCAATTTTAGCCACATAGGGAAACAAATCAACAGAGCCCATTCTAACCTAGAATGAGGCCTAATCCTATTCTTGAAGATCTGTTGCGAAGAAATCAATACAATACAGGGGTGTGTGGATGTGTGTGCGCACATGCATGTGTTATAGTATTGTTCACAGTGGCTAGAAATAGTGGGAGTGATGAAAATGTTATTTCTCAAATCATAAAATATACAGTTATTAAAATCAGAGTTTTCTCAGGTGATTGGGATAGCAAACTAAAGAATATGGTTGACTAAGAAAAAGTGGATATATACCATTGTGTACAGTATGATGCCCTTTTAAATAAGTCCCAAAGATGCCGGGTGTGGTGGTGCACGTGTGGTGGCGCACGCCTGTCATCCCAGCACTCAGGAGGCTGAGGCAGGAGGATCGCTGTGAGTTAAGACCAGCCTGGGTTACATAGTGAGTTCCAGGGCAGTCTCAACTACATAGTGAGACCCTGTCTTAAAAAAAAACAAAAACAAAAACAAAAACAAAAAAACCCAAAGAGGGCCAGGGATTTAGCTTAGGGGTTCCATTGCCTGCCTTGCAAGCATAAGGACCTGAATTTGATCCCCCACTCCAAAACAAACAAACAATGGCTACTCTTTTGGGCCAGGGATTTAGCTCAGTGTTGCCATTGCCTGCCTTACAAGCACAAGGTCCCAAGTTTGATCCCCAGTGCCATAAAAAATAAATTAATAAAATAAAAAGTCCTAAAGATCTTTTAGGTGATTAAGCACATTTGTTCAGGAGTGTGTATTTATATAACTTATGCATTGTGCATTCTAAGTTGTCAGCACTTTTCTGTGAGATGGGGAATAGATCTGGGTTTGGCAGAGAACCATCCTGTGAGAAGCTGGACTAGAAGAGAGGCATCAAAAGGAAAGCAAAGAGCCAGCTGTGGTGCTGCACACCTGTAATCCCAGCGATTCAGGAGGCTGAGGCAGGAGGATCAGAAGTTCAAGGCCAGCCTAGCCAACTCAGGGAGACCCTGTATCAAAATACAAAAATAATTCAGGCTGGGAATGTGCCTCACTAGTAGACTGGTTTCAATCCCTGGACTACAAAACACAAAACTCAAGCCCAATATGGGGGTGAACACCTATAATTTCAGCACTAGGGAGGCTGAGGCAGGAGGATCATCATGAGTTCAAGGTCAGCCTGATGTGCCTGTGTACCCATTGCTTGTGCTTGCAAAGTACGCCACTGTCAGGCTGCTGCTCAGCCACAGAGAGCGCCCCTACTCCCCCTTCAGGAAGTGGGCATTTCCATGGTTACTTATTCCAGAAACCGGAAGGTCCCAGGCAGAAAATAAGGGCAGTAGTAGGGCAGAGGGCGAAGGGTGTGTTGAAAAGCTCCAGGTGGTCCCTGTGCAGGAAGCCACTGGTGCAGCCAGCTCACTAACTGTGACGGCAAAAGGGTAGCATTTCTGGTGGCCTTCCGCTTCCCTCCCGGGACAGCTGTGGAGAGACAAGCACTGACCTTCGCACAGGAGAGAGTGTGTCCCAGCCGGGTGGGCAGAGCCGAGGCCGGCCTTACAGATCCTGACCAGCCAGACAAAGACCCCGTTGTGCCTGTCCATACGGAGATTCTGCAAGGGGCTGACCCACTGCAGCTGTCACAGTCATGGCCCAGTCCCTGGAGGAGGCTTCTTCACGAGGTGACACAGGCTGGAGGGGCCACTCTCTCCTCTTGAGAAGGCATCGAAGTGACAGCCTAACCAGCCAGCTGAGGCAGGAAGATTACAAATTGAAGCCCAGCCGGGGCAACTCAGTGAGATCCTGTCTCAAAACAAAAAGTAAAAGCCGGGTGTGGTGGTGCACGCCTGTAATCCCAGCACTTGGGAGGCTGAGGCAGGAGGATCTCTGTGAGTTCAAGACCAGCCTGGGCTACATAGTAAGTTCCAGGTCAGTCTCAACTACATAGTGAGACCCTGTCTCAAAAAACCAAACCAAAACAGAACAAAACAAAAAAATGAAAGAGCCCCGGGGGTGTAGGTCAGTGTGATGGCCCTGAGTTCAACCCCCAGTGCTGAAGAAAAAAAAAAGTTAAATCCAATCAATGAATGAGTGTGTGAATAAAGGAGGTTTGAAATTTCACTCTTACATCTTCCAGATGGATTCAAAGCAGCCGGATGTACTGCTACAGACCCTGGCAGTTCTGATCAGAGAAAGAACCCTCCCACCCTGCTGGAATGAGGCAGAAGATTTTTATTTATTTGGTTTTCTGGGTGCACGATGAAACTGATGTCCCCTGGAGGTCATGCAGCGGTTACACAATAGTGAAGTTGGCAGTGACAGCGAGACTGATACTAGGTGTTCCCCGAGTCCTGAGTGTTGAAGATGCCATGCCTATTTCCGGTGCTGTATAATGTACTTTTTTACTTCTCAGCAAAATAATGATGATGCCTTGCAATTGTACATACTTGGGGCCGGAGATTTAGTTCAGCGGTGCTGCAGCCTACCTCGTAAGTGCAAGGTCCTCAGTTCAATCCCTGGGACCCAAAAAAACCTAAAACTGTACATACTTTAGAGCTGATAAAGTCCTGTGAGAAAGACGTCTGAGCCGGGTATTTGTGGTTAAGTCACTTGCCAGAGTTGCCTGGTTGTGCGGCCGGTAGACTTGCCAGGGTTGGCTATCCGCCTCCCGCATTGTGATGAAGAGTGGCTAAATATTGATTTGCGGTTGACTTGTGGGAAATCACTATCATTTCTAATCAGTGTCATCATTTCCTACTTCTAAGAAACGTCTGAGGGAGGCACAGACCAGGCTTGCAGAAACTTTACATAAGAGCGCTGATAAGATCTAAATAGGTTACCAGGAGGGAGGGTCCAAAACATCACATCTGTGTGTGTGCTCGCATGTGGAATACTTGGTGCTTTAGCGCTGTTGAAATGTGACTGTGTCGCACACCTGTAATCCCAAGCACTGTGGAAGGCCGAGGCAGGGAGATGTTGGGTTTATGCCCAGCCGGGGCAATTTAACAACTTAGTGATTCCCTGTCTCAAAATAAAAAAGTAAATAAACACAAATTGAAAAAGGGCTGGGAATTGTAGCTCAGTACAAAAGCCCTGGGTTTAATTCCCACCACATCCGTACACAGACACACACACAAAACTGTGACTGTGAAAAAAACAAGCAATGCCAGGTATTTCGGAGGATGAAGCAGGAGAGTCTCTGCAAGTTCAAGGCCAGCCTGGGCTACCTAGTGAGTTCAAGACCAGTACACGGTGAGACTCTGTCTCAAGAAAAAAGCAAATCCTCTATCTGCCAGTGAATTAAATGTTTTGTTTAAAATTTTCATATAGTTTTCTGATTTTAATATTTAAATATCCAAATAACTAAGTTATTCATGCATGCTTTATTCAATCATGGACGTGTATTAGTCGGCTCTTCCATTATGGGGACGCAATATGCAGCCTACAGGAGAAGAAGTCAGATCTGACTCACGGTTTCAGGGGATTCAGTCCATGGTCAGCTGCCCCAAGGCAGGAGCATCATGGCAGAAGGACATCGGGGAGCAGAGCTGCTCAGTTCATGGTGGCCAGGAAGCACAGGAGGGGACAGCACCAGAGAGGAAGGGGACAGGAACTAAATGTAGTGCCCAAGGTCACGCCTCCATGACCACGCAGACACCTCCAGAAATGTGCCTTACTCATCCCCTGGGCAGTTCCCAAGCCAATCAAGTTGACGAGTAAGCTTCCCCCATGGACGGCTTAGAGATACCAGGAACATACTCTCCCCACCTACAGCGGGGATCAAACCAGACAAGGGGCCGGAGAGTTAGCTCAGTGGTGCTGCACCTGCCTCACAAGCACAAGATCCTGAGTTCAATCCCCGCTACCAGAATAAATAAATAGATAAAAAACAGACAGACAAATCTAACCTCCGTGGGTTTACATGTTGGGGGGTTGGGAGACGTGGATGATAACCCAACCCTAGGTTATGGAATGATAATTAGTTTATGATAATTAGTTTACATGTGATTAAGTTAGTTTATCTATAGTGATAATTAGTTTAGAAAAAAAATACAGTCAGAAAAGTTGGAAGGGGACACTGCCATGGGAGAGGCTACGCTTTATATCACAGTGCTCAGGAAGTGACATTTGAACGAGATGAGAGGCATGGAGTGCCAGGGTGTGCTGAGGGCAAACTTCACCTGTGAACCAACAGTCAGAGCTGTAAAACAAGATTCTCAGACAGGCGTGGTCGTGCACGCCTGCCCAGAGGCGTAGTTCTAAGGTGGGCACCACAGGCAAGCCTTACTAGCCACTAGAAAGTTTGGATTGTAGTCCACAGAGAAATATTTCCCAAGGCACAGTGTTGGGCTCAGGAGGCTGAGGCAGATGGATCGCCATGAATTTGAGCCTAGCCTGGGCTACATAGACAAGACCTTATCTAAAAAAAAAAAAGCATTTCTCTGGAGGAGCTGCTATGCGGTCAGTTGCCTTTGGTACCCAGGGCCCTACTCTCAGGTCCTTTCCGACTGAGCACAGAGTGGTCGGATCCTTGAGGTCGAAAGTGTTGGGAACAGAGAATACCTATACTTCCTTCCTTTTTGGTTTTGCAGGCAGACTCAGGGGAGGCCAGTTCATGCCTGAGTCCCCACCTAATGCTGGGGAAGAGTCCAGGGTGTCACCCAAGACTCCCAGAAGCCCGGAGGATAGGCACATGTCTTTATTTTATTATACATAAATATTTAAAATTTGTTTTTGAAGACACGCTCTCATTATAAACTTCAGGTTGGCCTTGAACTCACTCTGTAGCCCGGGCTGGCCTTGAACCTCTGGCAACCCTCCTGCCTCAGCCTGCCAAGTGCTAGAGTTAGAAGCCCGCACCACCGCGCTTGCCTATTTTATTTTTTGACCTGTATGCCTCTTGCCTCCAACCCATGCTGGCACTGAGTGGTGCGAACAGATGACAGCTGTGCCACATGCAGGGAAGGCAGATGGAGATGGAATCAAGAGAGGGCTGGCGACTGTGCTAGGAGAACACAGCGTGATGGGTAACAGATTCTTCTCCAGGACTTGGGGAGGCCCCAGAGCTTGGAAAGATGTACACTCTACTCATCAGTGAAGATGCAGAGAGGGTAGGAGCCAGGCTCTAGAGTGGGGAAACGCCTAATTTATGGGCCTAAAACAAAAAGCAAATGATGAGTATAATTAAAAAAAATTTTTTTTGGTACCGGGGATCAAATTTAGGTCTTTGTGTTTGCAAGGAAGGCAGCGGAACCACTGAGCTAAATCCCAACAGTGTAATTTAAATTTTATGAATGCCTTTGACCTGGAGCCGAGGGTCTTTCAGGTGATCTTCCTGCTTTGGGCTTTCTCTTCCCCTTTTCGCCTCTTCTGTTTCTCCTTCTTCCTTCCCTTCCCTTCTGTTTCTTCTCTGGGTTGTATTTCTGCAAAATCCACATGCCCACCGTTACCACCATCGTCACTGGCCACTGCAGCTCAGCTCGGCGGGTGGAATTCGGGGCGCACAGAGGCGTAGCTCTGAGGTGGGCACCACAGGCAGGCCTTACTGGCCACTAGAAAGTCTGGATTTTAGTTCCCAGAGAAATATTTCCCAAGGCGCTGTGTTGGGCCCTGTATTTAGGAACCACACTGGCTGCTGCGTATTGAGGCAGCTTCTTCTCTGCAGGCTCCTCAGAGCTCTGGGATGGGATTGAAGAGGGGGACAGATGTTGCTGCATCCAGACTAGAGTAGCCACACCTGTGTCCCTCAGGACAGTGTCTCTGGAGAACATACTGCACCCCTAGCCTCCCCGCTTTTTAAATTTTTGGGACGGGATCTTGTTAAGATGCTAGATTGCCCTGGTGGTTCTCAAGAGATCCTCCTGCCTCAACCTCCCAGAGTGCTGGGATGGCAGGCTTGCACCACTATGCCTGGCTACACCAATGTTTTTGGGCTGGAGAAGAACACAAACCACAGAAGAACATTCCAGAATTATTACCCGGAGAGACACATGTTCTGAGAGCCACCCCAGCCTGGGACCTTGAGAGGTCCTGTTCCCAGCAGTGGCAGTGAGGCTGGTGCACGTCCAGGTGAACTCTACCCTGCTTTGTCCCAGCTGGCGCTGGGTCCTTTCATCTCCGGCCAGCACAGAGCAGCTGCCTCGGTTCTCCAGAGCCTGTACCAGAGGCCATGAAGGGCACAGGGATCCGAGAAGCTAAAGCCAGAGAGCATGTGCTGTCCTGTGGCCTCCCAGGTATGCTGTTCCCAGCCCCTGGAGAGAGCAGTGAAACAGCAGCCACTGGGGCTGCACCTGTCCAGCCACCACTGCTCTAACTGCTTTGCTCAATATCTGGGGAAACAGAGTCCAGGGAGGAGAGAACGTGTGTGTCTAGACGCCTCCAGCTAGCTGCGCCTATACACTTCCCTTAGAGTCGCTTTGCATTAGTCTTTTCTTTTGTTCTTTTTTTTTCTCATTGTGTATTTCAGGCTGCTCTCACTCTTAAAGTCACTACGTAGCCCAGGCTGGGTTCAAAGTCACTTTGACCCTCCTGCCTCAGCCTCCCGAGTGCTGGGATGGTAGACATGTGTCACCACGCCTGGCCGCTACATTATTCTTCTTGCTGTTAATTTTTACCTCTTTTAAAAAGTGCTTTTGACTTACTGCCTACAATCCTCCAGAGTATATATTCTTGCTCAAGGCTCACTAAAAAAAATTTTTTTTTGCTTTTGTAGTAATTTTTTAAAACCACGTACTTTGGACGGTCTTGCTTTCAGCTTGACAGCAAACAGAATTTACAGTGCAAGGAAGATAGCAACAGGAATGAGACGAGATTTGAGCAGTGCCCAAAATATCCCTTACAAAATGATTCCCTCACCCAATAAATCTCCCTCGTCCCTGGTTTGACAAATGACCTTTGAAGGAAGGAACCACAGGGAGCAGAAGGGAGGATGTGATACAGGGTCTTCTTCCCTTGGGGTCTTAGCTTCGCAGACCACAGCCTACAGCTGTGCCCCAGACTGTCCTCCGCCCCTCGCAGCCTCCCCACCAGTGACTTCTGTTCTCCTTGGTCAGCAGAACGACCGCCCCCATCCCAGTTTGATCCCTGTCCCTCTGTGGGCACTGCATGCTTGAATTCAGACACTTGTGCTTTCTCAGACTTCCTGTCTGCATTCGTTCAGTCGTTAAATGCTGAGCAGCTATTCAGTGAATGATGCTCTCCTCTCCCCATACTAGGAATTAAACCCAGGCTGTTTGCACTGAGCTACATAGCTGCATCTCCGTTCTCAGGCCACTTCTTATTTTGAGACAGGGCCTCCGTAAATCGCTAAACCGCCTAAGCTGGGCTCAAACTCTCAACCCTCCTGCCTCAGCCTTCCAGAACGCTGAGATTACAGCGTGTACCACCACTCCTGACCCCATCAGTGATTCTTGACTGCCAAACCTCTGTAAGACCAACCCACACTGAAGCCCTTTAGGTGTCTACTGAGGAACTCGCACAGTGCTCAGGTTGAAATTAGGAGGCGAACAGGGTGTAGGGTCCTGACAGGGTGGTGGAGCGCAGAGAGAGGCGGAATGGGATGACTTCCCCGGACAGCGCAACCTGCCGCGTGGAGTCACCTTGGGCCGAAGTGTGTGGCAGAGGCAGGAGGAACAAGCTCTTCATAGATGTCTGCAAAAGGAAACAAGAAATTCCCAACATGTATCAGGCCCAAGTCCTTGGATATCAGAAGCACCGGAAGAAACACAGAAACGTCGGTCTTCCCATAGTTTCTTAAACACTGCAGCGGGTTCAGACTCAGGGGTGGTTGGGTCCCTGACCCAAAAACAGCGGGGAAGGGGAGGCTGGTCGGGTGGGCCCTGTGGCCGGGGAGGGCGAACCCAGCCTGGACCATTGTGAAGAAAAGCCGAGGGGGGCAGAAAGCCCGGAAAGGGGCGGCGCCGGGCTCCGAGGAAGCCGGGTTCTGGCCAAGGTCTCGCCCGCCCACAGAAGCCCAGCACGGACTTCGGAGCAGCCGGAGCCAGGTCAGCCTGTCTCCGGGGCGGGAAACATAGGACTGACCCAGGGTTCCTGCCCAACCGGCAGAACCACAGTCAGCCTGGGTTTTCTGGGGGCCCCGGACATTTCTTGGGATCACTTTTCTCTCGCATCTGTTTTTGCAGTGACCTCCCATTAAGTCCGAATCCGAGCCATGACCAGATCGCTCCCCTTCCTAGCTGGCTGCTGAATAATTGGCCCTGGATGAAGACGGAATCTTTCATCTGGAGATCTTAAGGAGAGTTAGTGACCACCAAGCTTCATTATTTGTTTTGTGTGTGAAGAAAGTGACTCAGAGGGGTTAGTGATTTTCTTTACCCGGGGAGTGTTATGAGAAGTATGAATGAAACTCAGGATGAAACTATTTCGTTAACCTTTAAACCATGTATGTTCCCCTTTATAGTAATGCAGTTTACAAAAATAATGACAGCTTTGCACTGAGCGGCTACTCCTTTATTCTTTTATTAAATGTGATTTATATGGGGCAAAGCATCTCACTACAAGGCCGGCTTGAGTTGTTCCTCAGTGCGAAGCAAGACGGGAGCAGTTGTGATGTTTTACTGGTGAACCCTGCACCACTCGCAGTTTGTGTTTTCATCCACCCCATGAATTCATTTCACCAACACACAGCCGAGTCCCTGTTGCAACATCTGTAGAATGGAACAGTAATGTCACCGTTGGCGAAAGGCTGCTCTGAGAATGAAGATGATTTCTATAATGCGTGCTGTCCAGAACTGGTGAGCCCTTAAAAGAACAATTACTCTTCAACAAGTAATTACAGGAGCCATGTTGCAAGACAAAACAAAACAAAACAAAACAAGAGTCCCTTTACAGCCCTGTCTATGGATGGAGAGGGTAAAGATGCACCCAACAGGTCAGTCAGTCTCTGAGGAACAGGCTTATCCCTCGAGTGAAAAGCCAGAACTGAGGACAGGAGCCTCAGGTACACAAAAGAGGCAGCCTTGGACCCACGGTGTGGACCGTGAGGTGTCAGAGGGTGAGGGGAGTATTGTTAGGTAAGGGAGGTTAAACCAAAACCAACCCCTTAGCAATGGCTGGCAACTCAGATTCACAGAGAAGAGAGACAGATGCAATTTTCTTCGGCATTGGAAACTGAACCCCAGGCCTTAGCACTGAGCTACATCCCCAGCCCTTTTTAAATTTTTGGTTTTGAGATGGTGTCTCACTAAGTTGCCAAGGGTAGGCTCCAGTTTAGTTTCTCTTGTCTCAGCCTCTCAGAGTGCTAGTGACTTAATTTTTTAAGTTAAAGGCTATGTATTTCTGGCTTGTTTGAACTTTTACAAGAATACATTTTTGTTTGTTTTCTTGGTACTGCAGATCAAACCTGGGACCTTGCACTTGCAAGGCAGACAGCAGGAAACACTGAGCTAAATCCCCTGCCCTATAGTCTTTTTTGTAAAACAAGGATTGTCTACTGGAAAAAGCAATGAAAGAAAAAAGATGGCTTAACTCCTATCAACAGACTAGTCTTTTCTTCTGGCAGGCCGACTGTTGTAAATGGGTAAATCTACACTGTGACCTTTTCTAATGTGCATAAATGGTTCTCTGTAGAAGATGCCTCATACATGTAGCTTGATCACTCCTCTTCTTTTTAAATAGGCTTCTGTGGATAGTACTCGGGACCATGGTATTCTGTTATTTCACCAGCTCCATAAAAAGATATAGCCAGGGCCGTGGACTTAGCTCAATGGCACCGGACATGCCTTGAAAGCGCAAGGTCGAGTTCAGTCCGTTGTTCTGCAAACAAAACATACAGCCAGTCATCGCAAAATTAATTTATAACCTGAGAAGCACGTGGCATTCGTTTTGCTTTGCATATTATACCGTCACCAAGAAAAAGAATCCATAATCACTATGTAATTATTTCGTTCCAATGCCTAAGGTGTATCTAGCTCCCTCGTTCTCCCGTCTATGGGGCCCTGAGGGAGTAACTCAGCCTAAGGATGTACAGGGTTTACCTTTGGACCAGAAGCCGGTGTGATTATCTGGCTGCAGTGGGGGTCTTTTTAGCCCAAGTGAGACTGGCTTTAACCAGAAAGGGAAAGGCAGATTCCTGGGATTCTTACTAATGAACACACCGCTTTACAAGCTCAGGGCTTTGGCCAATCCGTGCACTTATCTTTCTTATGCCAGTGAGAAGATTCTGGACTCTTTACTACTTATGGGCATCAGGTTCTAGCTTTTATAAAGAGTGACTCATGTATATTAGTGACATTTTCTATTTTTGAAATTCTAATGTGCTCTTAAGCATTTTAAACTTGATTTCCAGTACACCTTTTCACATACTTGGCCAAAATTTGCTGCACCCAGAAGAGTCTGCATAACCTGCATAACAAGATTTCTCTGTCGGTGTGACAGCGCTTGTCTGGAATATTCGATTGTTGGTCAGATGAGTCTGCTCCCAAGTTTTGGTCATTATGAACTTTCTGAATAGCCCTGCTGAATCCCCCCCCCCAGCCCGCAGATCCTTCCTTTAGAAATGTACTTCCTTACATGGGCGTACTGGGTCAAAGGGACTTTATGAACAGTTTTATAGCCCTTGAACATACTTTTCAGCTCGCGCCCTGGAGGCGCTGACCCGTGGCACCCGCCGCGAGGGGGCGGGAACGCGGGCGCACAGCAGTTTTCGGTTGCTTTCCTGGTGTTTGGAGGCTCAGCTCCCGCTGGGCGACGCAGGGAGCTCTTTGCAAACCCCAGAATTTCTACCCTCGCCCCACCTCCCCGGAGAGCCCCACTCGGAAGCCGCGGCGCGTCCTCGGTGTCCGGCCCTAGTGCGCACGACGCCCCCCGAACCCCGGCTGC